CTTTGAGATCTGAAATGAGCTTATCAGTGGGATAAGTCTTCACATCCTTGCTGGCTTGGACAACAACCACCTTCATTTTCCATGCTGAGGGCAGTCCCCTCAACACCTTAAGGTTGATCTCCTTGGTGGTGAGTTCCTTGCCAAGCTCAGAGATCTCTCCAGTGAGAGTGAGGAGCCTGTCATACATCTTGGAGATGCTTTCACCAGGAAGAAGCTTGAAGTCATCAAACTTCTTGTTGGCCATTGTCAGCTTGTTGTCCTTCTCTTGCTCATCACCAGCTCCAATGAGCTCAAGAGTATCCCAGATTTCCTTTGCAGTCTTGCACTTCTTTATTCTGTTGAAGTACCTATCATCGATGGACTTGTAAAGAATGTCCTTAGCAATTTTGTCCAGATTGTACTTCCTTCTTTCTTCAGTAGTCCACTCAGATTTGGCCGTATTGATCATCTGAGGTCTGGTGTTATCAATAGCATGTTCAGGGTTGACCTTCTGGAAGCTTCTGAAGGGCCCAATGTCAAGTACTTCCCACATCTCATCATGCAGAGCACAGAGATGTGCCTTCATCCGGATCCTCCAGTCATCAAACCTGAGATCTGAGAACATAAGATTCTTGGAAAGGGAGTGATCCATTATATCAGATTAAAAATGAGGTAAAACAGAAAAACAAGTGGATCTTTGTTCAGCAAATAACCTAAGAGATTATTAGAACAAGGAGGCTCTGATACCACTTGTTGGTCCCGGTTGTACTGGATACAGTCTAGAGGGGGGGTGAATAGACTGTATTGGTTTTTAACTTTTTCAAGCTAAGTACCAGATTTAACAGAATAGCCTGTTCTGTTGGCAGAACAGACTGACAGCGGATGGGGTTCTGGTAGGGAGTTCTGTTAGTAGCCTCAGAGAAGCAAGGGCAGTAGGCCTTCTGTTAACTCACAAGACAAGTTCTGCTGAACACAGATACCAAGTCTTTGGAGTTAAGCAGTTCAAATAAAAGCGATGAATGTAATACAGTAAGTAAATGACACCAGGGCTTTTTATAGTGGTTCAAGGAACAACTTGTTCCTCTAGTCCACTGTTCCACTAAGCTTGTAAAAACGTCCGTTTACAATGCCTTAGCCCTATCACTTAAGAAGCTCTACACGTCTTCTTCAAGTGTAGATGTCTTCTTGGATGCACTTCCGGCTTCCCTAAGACTGTTCCTTTCACTGAGCTTTCCCAGAAGTATCACCACTTCACTGCTCCTGGTACTTGGACGTCCTTCTTGTGAAAGAAGAGGTTCTATATAGAACAGAGGTTCCTCCAACTTGCTTCGTTACAAAGAATTTGTATGTGATGAGCTTGAAGAGTTGAAGAACACTTAGAACTTTGATTGAGTTGGAAATAAGGATTTTTCCAACTTCTGCCTTATCTTGTAGAGGATGATGAAGATTTAATCTCAAGGAGGCTTTTTGCGTTTTTAGCGTTTGAATATCTTGTATGTGCAGAGTTGTAGCAAAGGTTATAGCAAAGTTATCCGGTTGTTCTTCGTAGTGTATCTTTTATACTGAGGTTGTCTTCCCGTTGGAGGAGAAGGAGGACAACTGCATTAAATGAGCGGGCAGTTGACTTGACCAGTAGGATCCGGTAAAGTTGGCGGGTTACTATTTTGGGTTAAAGTTATCCTGACATTGCAGCCAATCATCTGCAATTACTCTACAAAGTACGGGAGGCATTAAATGTGCATTTAATGCGCGTACTGTAGCTTTTCCGTTCAAGACTCCTAGCCGTTGAAGGAATCTTCCAGTTGTTTTCCCGGCTTGGTGAAATTCTCCTAGGTGTCAGGCCTTCTGGTGTCTTTAGCAGAGAGTTGATCAGAGAAGGTCTTGAGCACTTCTGTTGAAGAGATGTCCAACAGAGAACCAGGAGGGTTTCTGTCAGAGTAAAGGCTAACAGAGATCCTGAGGTCTTCTGTTCAACCAAAGCCTTATCAAGGGTCTTCTGTTCTGGAGGCTTTCTGCTTTGTAGGCCTTCTGCTCTGGAGGCCTTCTGCTAGTCGATTATACTAAAGAGTTTTACAAAAGAAAATTCTAATACATTAAGTCTAAAGAGGGGTACTCTAAAGTCCTAATTAATCTAGCATCATCAAAATCTAATTACAAGTATTCCTTACAGGGAAGCTTACGTGTTAGCTTGGAAATGAGTACATCTCAACCAGCACTATGGACAATCCGTATCGGAAAAACTGAACGGTGGAATCGAAACTATGGTTTGGAAGATGATAGGTATCGACCGATTGACATATAGTTGCAATAACAGGCACATGAGACATGAGACACCGCCTGTTGTATCCTTGGCTTGTTCGGCGCGCTCTTCTATAACCCGTTCGAAACTGTTAATAAAACACTTGGAGAAGTCCAGGACCTCAGGGTCTAACAACTTTGGGAAATGCTTCATGATTAGATCGATATTCTGGTCGACGATGATGTCCAAGCTCTGAAAAAGCGTATCGTCACCAAAGGCCTCCACAAACTCTTTCCCCTCGGGAGTCTTGTCGAGGAGCTCTATCCCAACTCTTAAGGTATCTTCACTGGTCCGAAGGAACTGACCGAGATGTGGAGCGAGTAACTCCCGAGCGCTGTTTTCCAGCGCGATGTTCTGACCCTTACCTTGCTGGAAATCAATAACCGCCTATTACATCAGCTTGGAAGCATCAAAAGAAAAGGTGGTAGGGCTATTCTTCTCCTTGGCCGTTCGGACTTTGATCCCAGCATCTTAAACAGCCTTGAGTTTTGCTTTGAGTAAACTGATCTCCCGATCGCGCCGTTGGACCCTCTGCTCACTCTCAGCAAGCTCGGATGCAGCCTTGTTGCCTTTTGTTGCCTGATCCTGCAGATCGGCAGCCATTTTGCGAGCAGCCGCAAGAAGGGTCTGGGCCTCATCCAGTTCTCGGGCCATGTGTGCCATATCCCGATCGGCAGCAAGAAAGGCCTTGTGATAGTAGCCCCCGGCCTAGGGGAGGAATCACAATATGAGAAATGGGAATAAAATTGTATAAAGAAAAATAGGACCAAAAGAAGGGAAATACCTTGATATTTTCCAGATGGCCTGCCTCGATCAGATCCTGCCAGTGAGTCTGACGAACACTTTGTCGTAGTGCGTCAAAATAAATTCAATACTAACACTTATACGTAGTATAGCGTAGTAGAGTTCGTATCCACAGGGAAAGGAATACTTTTCTTTTTATGAACTAGTAACTAAAAGGAGGGTTTTGGGATTGAGTGATTTAATTAAATAAACACTAAGATGAACGATTTATATGAGTTTTAATTCAAAGATAAAAGGGACTTGGCTTTGCTACTTTCCACTTGTTGATATATTTATTCGATCCTTGTTATATCTATAACTTATTTCCTCTCGAATACTCAATCGAGGAGTATCTCCAATTCATCGAGGGTAGTTATTAACAACGACCGTTCATTAATAACACTTACTATTAATCAAATATAGAACAATGCCTTATACCGATTTAATAGTAGCATTTAATCTTTCTAATTCCTTGATGAAATCAATTGAGATTGATAACCTCAACACAACGGTTTCGGTTTAACCAACACAATTAATCCCTCTTAAGATTATTAACCACGACCGTGCATTAATAACCTGAAGTTACTTACTTGTGAAACTATCAACGATTAACCATCGGTTCATTGATCGTTTCTAGTAGTAATTAATGTCGAGATGTTAACTAATTGTCATCTTAGCAACACTCCTCAACATTAATATAGAGATAGATTAAGGGAAGAATTAATATTCAAGGAGAGAAGTTAAGAAAATAACTCACAACTTTAATAATCAACTAGCTTCAAGAGAAAACCCAAGAAATGGAAGTTTAGTTCCTCATTTGGAGACTAAACATGCTAGAAAAATATAAAAAAAAATACTGTTCTAAGTTGAGCTTAAGTATATGGAAGAAGGGGTGATGAAAAGCGAAGGAAATGGGGTTATTTATAGGTGTTTTCAACACCTATGGCCGGATACCCGGCCGGGTATTTGCCATACCCGACCGCGTATTTATCAAATCAAATCTTTTTCCATGTTCTTGTGTTCTTCTGCACGTTCGTTTGCCCGAAATCACTTCATACCCGACCGGGTATAGGGAATACCCGACCGGGTATTTGCTAGTTTCACAGCAATTTCCTCTTTCACTTCATACCCGGCCGGGTTTTGCATAAAACTCAGGTTTCTTCGTCCTTTTTGCTTCCAAACCTATCCTAAATTTATAACTCAACTAACTACAACTTACAACAAAGAATAAAATGCTAGAAATACGATTACAATCAAATGCAAACTAACAACTACAAATTTGCACAATACTAGTAAATAAATATTACAAACAATAATAAAAATGTATACTTAGGCACTAACAAATAGTGCCTATCACAGTCAGATGGGTGAAATAAGGGGCAGCCTTCAGAGCCATGTTGCACCAAAGGAAAGTGGCCGATTGCCCGAACAGGGTATTACCCTCGGAAATGGGGCTCATACCAGAGAATTCCAGTCGATTGGAAGTCTCGGAATTTGTGGTAGCAAACATGATCTTTCTAGAAGAGGAAGGGGGGAACCCATTCTTGGCTGAACCGGATCAGAACCGGTCAAGTCCACCACATCATCCGGGCGGGATCTCTTTCGGGTCGTTTCTGTGGTACCTCGTGACTGAGATTGATGGGTGGACTTACCACTGTTTAGGGTAAGCTTGCCTTTTCCCTTCCCGGCCTGGGGGGGGGGGGGGGGGGGGGGCAAACCAGATGAGAAATTACAGTGCATGGATCCTGCTCGAGTCATATGCGATTCGGAAACCCTGAACGAGACAAGGTTAGTATAAAAAATTGCTAAGTCCAAGATGCTACGTTGGGGAGTTTGAACGGCCAAGGAGAAGGTAAAGTGAAAGAACGGAAATGAATCATGCAAGGAGTAAAGAAACAACAGACAAAAAGTATTTTACTCCTCGGCACTACTGACCGGAATTTACATTAAGGATCAAAAGAGCAAAAGAGACAGTTGAATACACAAAAATAAGTATCAAACTAAACTACTGGCCAGCATCATGTCCTTCAGATTCATCAGCATCGGCTTCATCATCAGTCGGGGGATCGGGCTCCCTGCCTGCGGCCCGGTCGGCCTCCCTCTGCAAGTTGCGACGAAATTTGTCAAACTAAGCCAAGAGGACCTTATCCTCGAAAACTTCCTTAGTCTCAATCGGCAGACCAACGAGTTTCTCCAGGATGGGCACCATGCCCTCCATGACCCATTGACAGCCGGAGACATAGGTATCCTTGGCCAGAGCATTGACCCATTTCTTGCCAACCGCAGTTTCGTCGATCAGCTTTACCCCTTCTTCGAGGCGAGCCGGGCCTAGGGGGAACCGTTCCAGGCGCTTCCCGAACAGGGCACCCGCCTGTGCTAGTACATGCTCTTCGGCAGCTTTCATAAACTCCTCAAAGGATCGGAATTCATCGAGTGGTGAGGCCTGGACGTCAGATAAATCAACAAATATTTCCCGATGACCGTCCGAGATCTGAGGTTCGTTTTCCTTGAAAACGACCTGAGCGGCCTCAGCGGCATGAACCCTAGACTGAGCGGTGTCAAGGCCCACCTATAGTTGGCGAAGCCCAGCTTCGAACTTCTTCTGCTCTTGATCAGCAGCCTGAAGCACTTCAACAGTAGCCTGCTCTACAGATAACCGAGCCCTAATCAACTCCTCCTCTCTTTCCAGCCGAGCGAGTTGGAGTTGAACAGTATAGTAGCCGACCTACAGGACAAAACAGTTATTTACCAAACGACATGAAAAGATGAACGGAGAACGAACGGTGGGAGGTTACCTTAAGAGTGGCCAGGGCAACCCCTGTTTCGGCCTGCTCGACCGACAGTCGCGGGAGATGGTAATCATTCATAATGGCGGAGGTACTCCAAAGCCGACTAGGATGGCATCCACCTTGTTTCATAATCGCATGGATTGGGTCCTCCAGCGAGATTGGCTCTACGGCCTTTGAAACAGAGGCCTGTCCGGCCCCAGCATTGGCAGCATCGAACGAACCTGGGCATTCGTAAAAAAGGGGGTTGGAATGCAGATCCTCGAACGGCTGATCTACAGCCATATCAGCAAAGTTTACCTCCTCAAGAAGCACTGGATTGGGCGGCCGGATGGGTGGTTTCAGAGGTCGAGGTCCTGGCCTTCTTCTTGACCGGCTTCTTCTTCTTAGCCGCACCCATTTCTTCAAGGCGATTCCTGTTCATGATTTATTTTTTATGTCTATCTCTCTCATGCCACATATGCATGTTGCACATGGTTGAATTGGAGATGCTCTGAGCATCTTCAATGGGAGAATGAATTGCAGTAACGTGACATAGGAAAGAGATAGAGATAGAATGAATATTTTAATTTAATATAAATGAAGTGGTGTGTAAGCAAAAGTAAAAAGAAGGAGATAGATAGAGTAAAACGTAGACCTAGGTCTTTGACAAGATCCACAAATGAACTTTACACGTGATTCGAGAAGGGAAACTATATGAAAAGTAGTTATAAGTGATATAAAAAATGAAAATGAATAGAAATTAGGAAATACAGAGTATGTGAGTACTACACATAAAAACTTTGAGATAAAAAAAGAAACTCATGTGTAAGAATGTGCAGAAGATCATGCCTTTACATTGGGGATGCTCTTATAGTCTTATTCAATCGTTTCAAATATCCTTTCCAGTCAAAGGAAAAAATTATATAAATTTATGAAACTTTAAACGGTGTAAGATCGATACTCCAAACTTACATATGTAATATATATTTAATTTCTACATTTTTGGGGGAAAGATAGTTTTATTAATAAAAGAGAAAGGTAAATACAACACACAAACATGGGAAAATGAAAATAAGGGACATACAGAAAAACAAAAGGGAGAAAAAGCTTCAACCCAGCCAACTCGGAGTACAACACCCTCCCTACAAGTCCTAGTAGCTCAGTCAATTTTGCAGAATTTCATACGTGACTGCGATTTGTTATCATGAGTTTCAAGCATTGATATTTTTTCCTGTAAGTTTTAATTTGTGTGTTTAAATTCACAGTAGGCAAACAGTTTTCTGTTTTCCCCCGTGATCAACCCAGATTTGGTGCATAAATTTTGATTTGTATCAGCGTCCCAATGGTCCTCGATCGATGAAAGGGGGGGGGGGGGGGGGGGGGGGGTCCTTTTCTCGCTAAGAAATTCATCTCCCGAGTAAGAGCAAAAATGTTCAACAAAAACATCTTCATTATCCGCTATAGAGCGGTGGTTACCTGTGAAAGCTTCGCTCGAAAGTTTGACCTCTTGATTGTCATTAACTTTGTCGGCTTCAATAGGTCTCTCGTGTAAAGCATCTCAATTACCCAGAAAGGAGATGAATGAGCATTCTTTCGAATTCTTTGACCAAAAATAAGAAAGTGACTCCACCTCATGAGCTTTCAAAAATTTCCTTTATAGAGTTGATTTCTGGTGAAAGGCCAAACTGCAAAGATCATCGGTAGAATGCAACACCATAGATTTGTCAGTAAATGTAGAAAGCTCAATAACGACTTGAAATAATGATCCCGAGATAGAAAGGTCAGTCGGATGAGATGATCCTTGTCTAACCATGTAAAGATCCCTCTCAGACTTGGAATCAATGCTACCCGACACCCGTAGAAACGCCAAGAGTTGACCGTTTGAATTACATTCCAATCAATAAGATATTGAAAACTCTTTGGAGTGTGGAGAAGAGACATCTGGAATTGACTCTAGTGGATATCTTACCTGCCCAAGTTGATTAATTGACTTACTGGAGTCCTGAAGCCAATTTTTGGGACGCCATCGGTGTCTGAGCAGTCCCAGAGGATCCTGAGCAACTTGGTAATAGAGTAATTAATTTCAATTAATTAGGTTTCATATTTCTTATGTTTCCTATTGGACTGTCGACTGAGGACACTCTTTATTATATATATGACATCTAGAGCTCTTAATTGAGTAAGTCATTCCATTATTCTCACATGGTATCAAGAGATCTAGGTTTTAGTCAATATTAAAAAATATCGGTCCTATGGCTTCCGCAAGCTCCACCGCCGCCGCATCCCAGGCCATCACCGCCGCCGCCCCCACGGCCGTGACCGCGTCGATGCTGAGCGCAATTGACACACTGCTTACCTCCTCGACTTCGCTGACAACGGCCTTCTCCTCCACGGATGAACCGCTCCATTCACAGTCCTGCTCGGTGATCTCTTCTACTGTTCCGGCAGCGTCGTGGGTCCCTCCTATTTTTACTTGAACTCCTTCAGCGCCGACCTTAAGCCCGTCGATCCAGCCGCAGCCACATCAGCTCCCGGACGCTCCACATGACGCCTCCAGCAACTTCGGCGGCCCTCGGTTCTCTGGTCCCACGTTGTCAGGCAGTTTTGGTTTGCAGCCGCCATCGGCCGCGATTATTGGCAGACAGTCCACCCCTGCACCTATGCCCACGTCTTTTGCCGCACTCGCTCAAGGCATGACCTTTGGGGCTTCAATTACATGCCATGGCAATTTGGCAACGTTTGGAATCCCAATTTATGGCTACCAATCTCGCCCGCTCCATAGAATTAAAACAAATGCTGTCACACACTAAGAAGAAGGAAAATCAGTCCATGGAGGAATATGTTCATGGGATTCAAACCATTGCTGATAATTTAGCCGCCATTAACTCTCTAGTCACCAACGCGGATCTCATTCAATTTACACTTTTAAGATTGGGACCGGGTTATGAGTCACTAGTGGGACCCCTTACCTTATTTCCAGAAGGACTCACTTTTGACTCCTTAGGCACAAAATTGGTCCACCAAGATGCCCGTCTTCGCTACCAACAATCCTTGGACACTATCGTTACTACACCAGCGTTTGCTACACCCAATTCGGCGGGGGTCGTGCGGCTGCTTCTTCTTCTGGCGACCAGCAGCAACAACCGGCGCGAGGAGGGCGTGGCGGACGGCGTGGCAGCCGTGACCGAGGGCATGGCAGAGGTAGAAACCAGCCACCGCAGATGTATGGCCAGCCTCCCTTTTATGGCAGCCACAGCCAGCAGCAGTTCCAGCCGTCACCATCCGGTCGGGGAGCCTATCAGCCCAATAAGTGGGGACCGGGTACAGTTATATGTAATTCATTAAGTCATCGTTTTATACTCCGGCTCTCTCTACTTTTTGTACTAACTATGCTTCTGCAAGATCTCCATCTTTTGAGAATAGTTTTGGTTCAGTTCCTTCACCCGTTGTTTGTCAGATCTGTCATTCTCTAGGTCTTTCAGCTGTCTCGTATCCATCCCGTTTCATTCAAGCTCAGGCTCCTGCCTTGGCTGTCTCTACAGGTGAATCCACTTCAGCTGTTTGGTATCCTGACTCAGGTGCTTCTGCTCACATGACCTCAAATGAAGGTATTTTGCAAAATAAATCTATTTATTCTGGACCACTACAAATTACAGTTGTTAATGGCTCTAATATCCCTGTTATGACTGTTGGTGATTTGCATTTTTCTACTATGTCTCGGCCCCTCCATTTAAAATTTGTTTATCATGTGCCTATTCTTAAATAAAATTTGTTTATCATGTGCTGATAACAATTTGTATTAAGGACACAATTTCGGGAAAGGTGCTCCTACAAGGTTCGAGTAATGGTGGCGTTTATCCTATTTCCTTCACTCATGCCTCACCTGTAGCTCTCATCTCTCATGTTGCTCCCGGCCCGGTCTGGCATCGTCGCTTGGGACATTGTGGAAGTCGTATTTTAGATAAATTAAAAAAATCTGGCACTATTTATAGTACTTCTAGTTTTTCCCATGATTGTATTTCTTTTTTATTAGGAAAGTCACAATGATTAGCTTTTCAAGAAGTGTGGCATAAATATACTGCTCCTTTATTTTTAATTCATTCTGATGTTTGACAGTCTCCTGTTCTTTCTACAAGTGGCTTAAAATATTATGTTTTATTTATTGATGATTTTTCTTGATTTACTTGGCTTTATCCCATGCGTCATAAAAGTGAAGTCGTAACACATTTTCAGCACTTTAAATTGATGGTGGAAAATTTACCTAACTCCAAAATTAAAAATTTTAAAAGTGATGGAGGGGGTGAATTTGATAATAATAGAATGCGTGATATTTTTGCCAACAATGGTATTTTATTTCGCAAATCATGCCCCGATACCCCTGAGCAGAATGGTGTAGGTGAGCGCAAACACAAGTATCTACTTGAATTAACTCGCACGATGCTCTGTGAACAAACATGCCAACTAAATTTTGGGTAGACGCAGTGTTCACCGCCATGTTTATTATTAACCGCCTTCCTACTCCAAATTTAAATGGTATTTCTCCTTTTGAAAAATTATTTCACCATACTTCCTGACTTCTCCTTTATGCGTGTGTTTGGATGTGCTTGTTTTCCAAATTTTAATGTTACTTCTGCCAACAAACTTTCTCCTAGATCCACTTTATGTGTCTTTTTAGGATATGCACCTGAATATAAAGGTTATCGTTGTCTCAATCCTCTTACTAACAAGATTTACATCCACCGGAATGTTCGATTTTAGGAAAATTATTTTCCATATTCTACATTACCTTCTTCCACAACCACCGAGGACTTGTCTCCTTTGTCTAGCCTTAATACCGTAACAATGCATGGGCATCATAACCATACCACATCCCTTCGGCCGGCAGCCGGCGTTTTTCCTACTACCACCATGTTGTGGCAGTCATCCGACTGCTCCCAGCTCACTTCCCCTCAGTCGGCTGCTTCCTAGCAACCCTCACCGTCCAGCCTCACCACCGGCTCCATTACCCCCGCGGCAGCGGATAGCCCAATCCTGTTATGTACACCCATACCCTCACCAACCCCATCACCTACTCCCCATGCAACAAGTCCACCTACTGTTAGCCCAGCACCATCCGTTTCTCCCCCCACACCTTCTCCTCAAAATTGTCATTCTATGCAAACTCGTGCTAAACCTGGAATTTTTAAACCTAAAAATATTTTTACTCTTAAAACAGATGTTTCGGCATGTGATCCTACTTGTTTTTTTATGGCAAATAGAGATGCTAAGTGGAGAGCGGCTATGGCAGAGGAGTTTAATGCACTTATTGACAATCATACTTGGGATTTAGTTCCTTTTAATTCTAGTAGAAATGTGGTCGGGTCTAAATGGATTTATACAACAAAATTTAAGTCTGATGGGTCTGTTGAGTGCTATAAGGCTCGCCTTGTTGCACAAGGATTTACTCAGCAAGCTGGTGTGGATTTCTCTGAAACTTGTAGTCCTGTTGTTAAACCCACTACTGTTTGTATCGTGTTATCCCTTGTTGTTTCGTGTCATTGGACTATTCGTCCGTTAGATATCAAAAATGATTTTCTCCATGGCAATCTCACTGAAGAAGTTTATATGCGTCAGCCTCCTGGGTTTATACATCCACAATTTCCTAATCAAATTTGTAGGCTCAGGAAGGCTATTTATGGTCTCAAACAAGCTCCACGCACGTGGTTTTATCGGTTTAGTTGTTTCTTTTTAACCCATGGTTTTGTTTATAGTAAGTCAGATAATTCTTTATTCATTTACCGCCATGGGTCTTATGTTCTTTATCTTCTGTTGTATGTGGATGACATTATTATCACTGGTAATTCCCTTTCCTTTATTTCCACATTTATCTCTTGTCTTGGTCGATGTTTTGCCATGAAGGATGATAAACCCAGTATTTAACAATCAAACAACCATAGCAGTTAAAGAAGAAGCAGATAGAAAGATATGTCGATATTATACACGAATCTGGTATACCGTATGAAACCCCGCCGCTCTCCCTGGAGAAGGAGAGCAGCGGAAACCCTTCTCTCTATCTCGCCTCTGTGCCTCTAAGCCTCTTTCGATTGTTAGGGTTCCCGTAAGTTACCCTCCTTTTATAGGAGAAGTTGGCTAACTTACGGGTTACAAGGAAGCCCCCGGGCTGATACACATTTGTGGCCCGTATTACACGTTTAATTAATAACTACACAAATACAAAGATATTTAATTAGATTGGACACCTAAAATATTCCTAACAATCTCCCCATTGGTGTTCAATCGTGTTGAATCAGCATTGCAGCGCAGATATCTTTGTCTTTGTTGTTATTGAGCTTCCTTTGTCTTTGAACTTGACTTCTGAGGAATGCTCTCTGAAGAAATCCTTGCAATCTCCCCTTTGATGTCTTCTTGAAAATTTGATCTTTGATGTCGGGGGTTGATGAATCTTCAATATCTTGCATTTAGTCCATGCCTTCCAGAAGTTGCTCTTGATCAGCTTGAATGAGGTCCGGTGGCTCCTCTAGAATGAATATTCTTTGGAGAATAGGAGACGCCCATGGAATTCATCTTCAGGACACGAGTATTTGACCTCTGTCTCCTGCACAATGTAGTCTTTTTGACTATTTGGAATGAATGCATTTGAGGAGAACTTGTCGGTGGCACAGCGGAACATAATGATTGTTGATTTGTGAGTGTAGCTGACCATTTGATTTGAATTGTTGAGATAGCAGAGAGGGTGTTGATTTTTGTGTTGGAGGAGTGAAGTGTCCCAGAATGATTTGTTCAGTGTTAACAGCATGACGATCCGATGAATCGGGACGTCATGCTTTTATTCTTTTATTCTGCGGAAATAAAACAGGAAACAAACAGAAAGAGTAAATGATAAAAGCCCCCCGGGTCGAGTAGACACCCGTTTTCATCACTATAGAGATAAACTCTAAAGCAATGACCTGTAAAAGTTGGTGATTCTTATGTTGCAACAGCAGGACTTCCTTCCAATTATTGGTCTACATCTGTAATAGATGAGCCCTATGGAAGTTCTCGCGGGTCATGTAGACCTGCAACTGACTCTAAAAGTGTGTCTGTGTCCTAGAAAATTTCAAAACATTTG